TCCGGGGAATCTTCCTCTTCAGGCGTTGACAGATCCACGAGTATCTGCACGAAAAAAGCAACTAAACATATAACACACAGACAGAAAAAGATTAAAGCAGCAATAATAGGTCAGAAAATCATGGATAAGCCCATCACAGTCGATATTTTTGGTTACTTTGTGCCGCATGACCTAAAAAGGCCAAATTTTAAGCCATGGCGGTCATAGGCGGATCCAGGGCGGTTTCCCGGGGGAAGAGGGAGAGAGGACGATGAGGGCGACAGGGAGTTCCAAGTAAACTTTTCTACAATAAAATACCTGCTACCTAAGCCCCTGGAGAGAGGGAGGGGGCGACAGGGGGTTCCAAGTAGACTTTTCTACAGTAAAATATCTGCTACCTAAGTCCCTGGGGGTGGAGGGGGGAGGGCGGGGAGGACGAAAGACCCCTCCCGGATCCGCCAGTAAATGCTAGTCATTACATTCGAAGTTCTGTGCGACAGCTTATTGGGGTAGTTAGCTGAGATTCTTTTTCCCCCTCGCCCTCCTAGCCTCTCGCCCCCTCCCCCGTTCTCCTCACCTTTCTCATATCGTAAAATCATATAACTATTAGTATGGCTGCTTTTTCTTCACCCCTGTCACACTAATTTCATCTTAATCATTCTCTTCTCTCACATTATTTTTTCCCTTGTCGTGCAAATTCGCCCATACGTACATTTATAAATATATGGTGGATAGGAGGCTGTACAGACGATTCCCGTTCCTAGCTCTACATGAGAAGCTCTGTCTGTATTTGTGGCTAAAAGATGAAAATTTCACTGATTCCTCATTCAATTTACGACTTGTAATTCCTATGCTTGTTTTCTCTAATATTTCTTGTTACCTTAAGCGAATACGGGTAACGGAGCGGGAAGGAGGCGGGAGGAAGTCAGTGGTAGCAACGTGAAACAGTACGGCTATCTCAATTGTTAAAGTAGATAAATCACCAAAAGAAACTCTAAAAAATCACCAAAAAAACAAAAACTCCAAAAAAAAGTCACCAAAAAACAAAAATTCAAAAAAAATCACCAAAAAATCAAAAAAAAATCGCCAAAAAGACAAAAAACATAGGTACAGTCACCTCATCCTTTTCCTCATTCTTTGAAACGGTTTCTTCATTTTTTATGGATTCGACCGGTTTTTTTTCGCCCGATACTAAGGGTGTTTCGGTCTCGATAAATGTGTATTCAGCAGGTGCTTCAATGCTGTTACTCTTCGCCAATAAGCCGTACATTTCTTGAGCAGCCATCATCTTTGCTAACTGCAACAACGATATTTATATGTCATAAGCACAGTATGTTAGCACGCTGACCTTAGTCAAAAAAAAAAATACATCTTTGAAATATTATTTGAAGCTTCGAACAGTAGAACCATTTTTATGCGTTTTTTGCAGCTATGCAATGCAAAAATGCATACTGTTGGGGGATTGTCTGTGTGTGTCTGTGCGTGCGTCTGTAACGAGTTTTCATCTCGAGATCCACAAAAGCTACAAGGCTGAAAATTTGGTGACTTAATCTATACATACGTGCGGGCTCGTATCCTCAAAATGGACGCTCGTCTGCGCAGTTCTCACGTAGGAGCACGTGAAAGTTCTTTGGCGGGAAAGTGTTTTGGGGGACAGCCCATGCTAGGAGGCTGGAACTTCACAGAGTTGTTCCTTGGCCGCGTCTAATCCAAAGATTTCAA